TTATACTTCATAACTGCATGGCACTAATGCATTTGCCTTTCTGAGCAGAGATCAGTGGGTTGAAAGCGGGATTGGGATAGGGTGGGAAAAATGGCAGTGCGTTCCTGTTCTTTGTAGGATATCTTCTTAATTCTAGCATCTCTTAGCCAGAGGATGATGACCACCTTCACACCCTAATCTTTATAGTCTCTTTGTTTTATTTGTTCCTGTCCCTCCATGGAGGCAAACATCAGGCACAGGAGATTCGGGGAGATTAAGAGGGTAATTAGTGAGAGAACACTGCTGATGATAATAACAGTATTAATAATAAGAGTTGACATTTATTGACATTTAAAGAAGCCAGCTCCTGAGCAAATGCTTTACAAGTGTTCTCTCACTGAAACCTGAAAACCCTATGAGGCACGGGATCTTAGCATGCTAAGCAATTTGCTCAGGTACACACACCTCGGAAGTAGAGATCTCAATCTTAGTCATTTAAGGTGGAGCCTGCAACGGCCTTTACTCCCCCGGCAACATTCCAGTTTGAGTGTTTAAATTCCTATTTTTTCACTTAATACCCTCTTTATCTCTTCCCTACCCCCACACAATATCTACTTAGTGGTCATCTCTTGTTAAATGGCAAAGCAATGTTACGTAAATATACAGATTTCTGAGAGATTATTGCTGAAGGTGCTGCACGGTCCAGCTCAAGTGACACCACTTTCAGGGGCTTTCATGGGTGTCTGTGGGCCAGTGACCCTCCCAGGCTTCCTGCGAGAATATACTGAACCACAACCATCTCACTCTATGAGTCTCGCCTACTGGTCCATGAGCTTTCAGAGAGTGCATGCAATTTCTTGTTCTTTTTTGTATATCAAGCACGTAGCACAAGTCCTGGCACAGACGAAACACTTGGTAAACATTTGATGAATAAATGAATGGATGAATGGATGAATGGGTGAATGAATGGAAATTATCTTCCATAGAACTCATGGCCTCACCTAAATATGTTTCCAAGAATGGAGATGTTTCTTTATTATTCTTGTAAATTAGTATTCTTATAAAATACTAATTCATTCTGCTTTTCTGAAAACCTGCAACAGTCTCTCTGGAGATGCATAATGTTCTGATCTGTGTATAAGTCTGTTTCAATATTACTCAGGTGTCACAGGAAAAATACAGCTGCACCTAGGGTCCTCTAGCCTTACTCAGCTCAGTGTTTTCCTGGGCCTTGGGCAGTCTGTTGCCTGCTGGCTTCAGTCAACCTCCCTGCCTTCCATACAGTTGTAAGGAACATTCTATTCTGCCCTGTGCCCAAGCATTGCTCTCCCCTCTTGTGACAGCATGATGGCCAGATGTTGCTGCCTCTGTGAGTGGCCACTGTGGGAAACCCTGAGTCTCTGCAAATTGATGCATTTATCCTGAAAGTAGCATTTTGCTATCTTTTTATTATCTTTGCCCCAAAAGGAGACTTTCATGGGGATGCCCTTTAAAAAAGAAAAGGAACAAATCCAGGCACAGGTATAAACCCATCTGTCCAAGGCTGACATTGTAGCAAATTTGTTTACCACTCATGAAAGGTGATGAACCATCTTGCTTTCCCAGAAATAACACTGAGATGTCTGAGTCCTCCAACCTTACTAAACCACGCCATGCTTCATGTACCGAAGAGTTGCTGGAACTATTTCTCTCCAGAAAAAAAGGAAAGCCACATCTACTCAGGAAAATAGTTCTTTCTAAGTAACCCCAGATGGGATGTGTTGGTATCCCTCCTTTCATTCTATAATAAATCATTGTATTAAATAACAAATATTTATTATTTTTGTGTATGCAGAAGCCAGAAGAAGTTGTCTAAGCCTGGAAAAGTGAGAAAGGTGAGAGCTGAGAGGACAGAGATGAGCAAAGTGGCAGTTCTTTCATAGGTGAAGTAGGAAGTTTATGCTACCGATAGGCCTGGGCAGACCTTGTTCATGCTGGAAATGCCAAGCAGGAGAACAGGGGGGAGGACCTGAGACAGCACAGGAGAGGCTGCGTTCCCCAGGTAACCAAGCCAGTGTGGCGAGTAATGACAGACTCCCTGCCCCTGGACCAAGACACTGCCAGAGGAAGTCATTGTGCTGAGCACGTGTAGTGAAATGTTGGCTAAGGAAAAAGCCCCCCTTTTCCCTTCTGGGCACTAGGTGTGGGTGAGACCAGAGGATGCAGCTGCATGTGACCATAGAGGTCAACATGGCCATCGGGGGAGGCATTATCCTGTCTTCTAAGCTGGGAAAAGAACAGGATGGCTGGTAGGGTGGTGGGGGCAGACCCTCCCAGAGCATACAGAAGTTTGGGCCAGGAGATTTAAACAGAAGGAAGGGAGAAACATGCTTTCTTGGGTTCACTTCATGGACACGTGGGGCCAGGTCTTGCAGGACCTCTTCTGGCCCTTGAAATCTCCAGATAAACGGCAGCTCTGACAACACATGTGGACTCCATCAGGGAGCCTGAAGCCAGACAGCAACCTGCTTAGCCACCTCGGGCTGCAAAAGACAGACTGGGGTGGAGAGGGAATCCTGGCTATTGTTTTGGGCTTCGGCCCTTTGGTACAGCTGAATTTTGCTTGTGTTTTGCAGGAGAGATGAGCCTGGAGATGAGGAGTTTCCTGTCCTCCCAAATTGTACAACATTTTAATAAGGACCTCTTTCCTCCTCCACCAACCTGTGCCTCTGGAATTTGCCTGTGGGTGATGGCAGGCTGTCGAACACCACTTTTGTTTGGTAACAGTTATATTCAAGATTGGCACAGCAGGGCTTCTCTGGGAAATCTCACTGGTCCTAGGCTTCTGCCCTATTGGTTGATCAGAGAAAAGGAGAGTGCATGGTTAAGGGCACAGGTCTCAGTCGGACAGACCCTGGTTTGAACCCTCTCTCTACGGTAGTAGCTGTGTAGTGCTAGACAAATTTCCTAACCTCTCTGAACTTTAGTTTGCTCATCAGTAAAATGAGACTATATCACAAGGTTGTTATAAAAATTGAATGAGAAATCTGTTAGGTCCTAGCCATAGTACCTGAAAGATAGTAAGTAACTATTATTAATAACCACGTGGAGTACGAGCTGTTGTTGTTATTGTTTACGGACAACAGAACGAGTACCATATAATAGGAGATGCATAATATGAACTTGTGCTAAGGGGCCCAGAGACCAAAACAGTCTCTGAACCATGATCCTACCATGATAACTAATCCCTCCCCACTACAAAGCCACTCTCTAAGGGCCCTCTGGAGACCTGTGTTTCACTGGATTAAGGGATTAGGATGCTGAGGCAGGCAAATGAAATGACAGCTATCCTATGCATTGAAAAGGATTTGTTAAGGGGACCCGAACCCATTAATAGTCCGGGTCACAATGGATAAAGCTAACTGCTGAGAAAACCAGACAGAGGACAGGTTAATTTTGATGAGGGAAAAGGGCAAGAAAGAGGTAATGAATGGCTCATAGAACAATACTGCAAAGGGGAAACCTTGGAGATCAAATCACTCATGAAGCATAAAGTAGGAAGAAAGAATTATTTTTAAAAGGCAATAGGAGAAGAAGGCTAGAGTCCAAATTTGCCAGTTTCAAAATGTTGCTTTAGGTGAGAACAAAAGCAAAGATTAATATTTTGAAAATTGGAGCCATTTCTAAGGTTCCTATTGAATGATCTGGTTGTGAAACAATTCATGAGTAATTATGAATCTACATCCTGAATTTCATTCCAGATTTAAGTTGGGCTACACAGAAGGAAGAAATATAGGGAATCTTCGGACCCACTAGTGAAGTGGGACTGTCCCAGCCCATGCAGTTTGTGAAAGTGCAGCTCTGGACCTTGCCCGAGGCTTATTCCTCACATCAGGTGGTGAATGAAGGCTACTTACTCTGTTGCATGAGAAACAGCCAAGGTCACAGAGAATGCCCATGTCCTGGGCCTGAACAAGTCAGTTGCCTAACAATATGTAGTGTGTCCACATTCTGTTGAAGACAATGGATTGCCCCCAGTGAGTAAAACTGGGCTAATGAGCAAAAGCCACAGAGATAACTCTCAACCCAATATTAGGAAAGGCTTCCTAACAGAGCCGTTCCAAGAACAGAGTGTAAAGCAAGAAGATCCCCACGGCCAAATATGTTTCAAGTAGAGGCTAGCTCATAGAAATTCATATATTAAAGAGGACATTGAACTCAATGAGTTTAAAGTTCACTTTCACTTTTCCAGTCCTATAAAATAAAAGGCATGACCTACAATTATAACACTTATCAGATAACCAAGAAAAGAGAAATTGTGGAAATACTAACATATCCAAAGCGACATACCAATGAGCCAAATAAAAAGTCTAAAAAAAACTCAGCATGGCAATTTTGAAAAGCAGCTCTCCTGAGAATATGCAAGAAAAGAAACCGAAATTCTTTAACACCTGAACAAAACTCATCCCTTAGTGAAAGCAGTAATCAGAGGAAAGGTACACACAACTCTCAGGCAGTCCCCACGGGATTCCTGCGGAAAAGCAGTACAGAGCATAATGCTTGCTGTAAAAACAAAACAAAACACAAAAGACCTCACATAAATAGCTGTTTTTCCACCCCATAGGAAAAATCAGATCTGCTTGAATTCTGCTCACTGCATTTTTGCACACTTCAGGTCTATTCTCAATATTCTACTTGGTAATAAATTAAAACTCGAAGTCATGGTATACCCAAACTCAATAGTTAATTCTGAAGATAGAATCTGTGACCTCATGATTTCCCATGGGCTTGAAATCATTTATTCACTCATTTCTGACAGTGTCTGAGGATCAAATGAGAAAAGGTATTCTTTGTGCTACCAATACGCATCAGCTGGAAATAGGAAATAGAGACAGAAATTAACTTGGGCCTTGCTACTGGGGTGGTCCAAAGACCAAGCCATCGGTATCACCATCTCCTCCCACCCCTGCCGCCCCAACCTCACCCCAGATCTGCTGAATCAGAATCTGCCTCGTAACAAGATCCCAGCGATTTGCATGTACCTTAACGTATGAGGAGTCCTAAACCAAAGAAAGATGATGGTATTGCTCGCCTTCTGACCTTCACCACCTGAAAGCTGTATGAAGAAACAGCAGGCTCTGGAAAACAACAAGGAGAAAATGACTCAGACTGTAATCATTCATGGAGTCATCGATCAAGTGTTTGCATTGTTTGAGAAATTTTCCTATTGCTCACAGGGTACAGCCAAGGCTTAAAAATAGGCTGCCAGAGCCTCTAGCTTGTTTTGACCCAAATCAGCTGATTAGTCTCGGTTAGTTATTACACTTCAGGGGAAAGGAGAGGAAAGCCTTCAACAAGTGTCTCTACAAGGAAAGGCAGCTGTTTCTCATAAACTGCAATGAATGAGCCTAGCAGGGCTTCATCCTTTATAACCTGCAGCCTCTCTGTCAGCAGAGAAATCCCTTCCTGCTAAGGTCACTTCTGAGCCGCCAGCAGTTTCAGTGGGAGCATGCATGTGGCCACAGAGGAGAGGAAGCTCTGGGAGCACCCAGGTGTGAGAAATACACAAAACAAAAACAAAGCATTTCCTAGAGTACTTCCTCGGTTCAAAAAGGCCACTGACTGCCGGAAACGCCGCAGATTTCCTAACAGCTTTTCAGGAGGGGTGTGACCACCCCTTTAAATAAAGTTTTGTTAATGGATATTAGCCATGGAGTTTTTACACAGCTCCCTGCAAACATATGTGAAAAAGGGATGTTTGCTGTTTACTGCAAGCATCTGTTTTGTTGCAGGACTGAAATACAGCCTGAAGGGCTCACGGAAGAGAAATATCAAGATCTCTCCCTCTCCAAATAAATTTGGGTTGAAAACCAGATAAATCTAAGAGCTTTGTGCTCCTGTAAACTTTGGCTAAAATGATCTGGGGACTAATTCTGGTTCCTTAATATCCAGGTTTCATGGAGAAAGACCATCTGACCATGGGTCCATATGAGTGAGGGTGGGGTAGTGGTCAGAAGCAGAGAAAGAAACTGAGATCCTAAAAGGAGTCAAAAATTGTCCCCAAAACACACAGTGAGTCAGTGAAATTCTGACTCCCTAACGTGCAAGGTCAGCATCTTTCACTCTCCTACCTACCTCCTGCTTCACACCATTCGGAATACTCTGGTGGAACCGTCAAGCTCTTTTTAAAAGGATTCCCCTCATTCTAGCCCTGACATGAGAAAAGCATGCTGGTTAAGTGCTGCAGAGGTGCCATCAGGAAATCCAAAGCAAGAGTTCTAAGTGCGTGCCAAAGTTAGACAATGTACTTCCCCATCCTGCCAGGGTGCAAAAGATCTCAGTCATTGCCATGTGTCACACAATTTACAATGAACCATTTTGCTAATGGAAAAGTACTTTCTTCCTAAGGCCTTCTGGAAGAGTTGTTTTCTACCTTTTTTTTTTTTGCTTTTAAATTGATTCTACACAAACCCTAGGATTTCCCACAAACAAGTTACTACTGAGAAAGTTAGAAGGATGGATCCCATTGGTTTAATGGGTGGAAAATCTGTGCCACAGGGAACTGTGCTCATAGTGGCTTTTATGGACCTTTGTGTAACAATTTTAAAAGACAGAAAACTTTCAGTGGATCTTTACAAAAGGCACGTTTTTTTAAGAACTCATAGAGCCCTCAAGTTTTCAGGGAGCATCACTGGCCTATCTTTCCCCTGAATCCTAAAGCTCCCCCTAGTGACCAAGAACATATCACGGGCTCCCTGCAAGGAGAGGAAACACTTTCTAGCAGGGGCGTCCAACTTTTTGGCATCTCTGGGCCACACTGGAAGAAAAAGAGTTGTCTTGGGCCACACATTAAATGCATCGTGACATGTAATCACACACAAAAAATCTCATAATGCTTTAAGTAAATTCATGATTTTGTGTTGGGCCTCATTCACAGCCGTCCTGGGCCTCAGGTTGGTCACCCCTGTGAGCCCCTTGTTTCTAGATGGCAACATAAATTTTTGTAGCATTTTCACATACATTTGATCATTTAACACACAAACGGTAGGAAGTAAAAGTATCTTTTCCCCCATTTAACAGATAAGTAAATGGAGGCTCTGATGGGGGTGAGACTTGTCACGTGGCTGGTAGTAAGGGACCAGAACCAAGGCCAGGTCTCCCGTGTGGTTCTGCCGCATGGCCTCCTGCTCTGTGACAATGAAATCAAGTCACTTGTGAAGAACTTTCAGGGGATGTATAGAAGTGACTCTTGACTTTTGGGATTCCCTTTGAGAAGCTGATGAGGATTCTGGGCCCATACCTACACATTTTCTCCTGCAACATCAGAACGTCCATGGGTCACCCTGAACAGTATCTGTTGACCCTCCAGGACTCCAAGGACCCCAAAGGTAAGAAGCTATCGACACCTACTGGATCTAATCTTGAGATATCGAGGAACTTGAGGAAGACGAACTTTGGAGGGTTTTACTCTCTCCCTTAATTGGGATGTTTTCCATTCCTATCCAATTATCTCTTCATCCTGTTTGGAGTATTTAAAAGGAATGACAAATGAGTACATGTTTACTAACATTTAAGGAAAAGCCTGTGGACATTGCCATTGAGGCCTTCTAGCAGTCTCATAGGCATGCCTGGAATTAGTGACAAACTAAGATGTTTCTAGGAAAGGAGCAATTTGGGAGCTTCTTCCCCGCCCCACCCCCCAAATGTAAGAGCAGACCACAGTCTCACCAGCCGGGTCTGTGGAGACTAAAGAAAACTGGTACTGCCTCTACATTCTTAGCTCTTTGCACCCTGGCATGTCCAACAGCTTTGACTGATGGTTTGCCAGTTCACATAAGTCTCTTCTATGAGAGGATAAGGACCTCCCTGTGAGGATAGGGACCTTGCCTATAGCGATCAGTCGTATTCCCAACGAGCTCGAGTGCACAAGCAGAAGATACTTGATGAACGCATGTGGGAATGGTCCTCCTCATTGAGTCAGCTCCCCTGGGAACCTGCTTATTTCCCTCCCTGATTAGTCAGCAGCCTCTGGCTGCCGGGGACATTCCCCTACAACACTCCACACAGGCAATCTCAGGTTCTGGATACGCGGCTGCTCTTATGAGACGTTGTGTTCTCTATTCTGTGACTTCCACCATCTAGACGAGGTTACAAAGAAACCTGAGCAAGATAAGAGCTTGTTGATAGGAGCTTCCTGCCATAGCCCTCCCAGAAAGTGCAGCACAGCATCGAAATACGAGTAAAAATACAAGCACTCTAGCGAATAGAGCTCTCGGCCATCCAAGCAGACTGTTCAGAGTGTATCTGAGTTAGGAAGTCCTTTTCAAATCATCTCACACACCCTCTACTCGTGATGCCTTTCCACACCTCTGAGTTTTTATCTCGAGTAACGTCCCTGCCCACCTGGTGAACCATGGCCTCAGAAACGTCTTCCCCAGCCCTCGTCAGCACCTCTCACCTGTTTCCACAGCACACGGCTACTATGACGCCGTCAAAATGACACAAGTCATCTCCGCCTCGTCTCCCACAGGCAGCCCAACAAGAGGCGCGGGGGTGGCTGAATTCGAGAGTGACCTGTGTCACTCTCCGGTTCATTTTGCTTATCTTTCTGGAAAACTCCGTTTTTTCAGAAGTTTCTGGCGACATCCTCACGAAAGCAAAGGGCTTCCCCAGGCGGAATCAAAGCCTGAGCCTCTGCAAAGCTGTGCTTGTGGGAGCAGCTGAGGTCTCTGCTCTTCTTTACACACAACATTCCTCTTTTCCCGGCCACCCTAGTGTCTGTTCATTTCAATGGTGAAGTTCCCCCAAATTTTGAGCGTCACCTTTGGGATTTTTGCCATATGAAAAAAGCACCCGAGCCAATATTTACTGAATATTTTTCTTTAAATTAACTCAATTTTTACACAGTATTTTTGCTTTGTAAGTCATATTCATGAAACATTGTTAGATATGCTCATTGTTTTTCCTAATGTATAGTAAAATTAAACATGATAAAAGTAAATAAAAACCTCTGCATTAAAATAAACTACTATGAAAATTTTTAAAGCAACTTTTCTTAGGTACCCATGAAAATCTCCTCCAAGTATCATGCCTGCTCCCCTGGGAAATTCTTTCCTCAGCCTTCACTCCCCTCCCCCAGCCTGCTACCCAAATGTGCTCCTTGGACGTCAGCACACTCCCTCACTCCCACACCAGGAAGAGGCAGTGAACAGACTTGAACTCCCGCACGCTGCGTGCCGTATCTTCCCAGGCTGCACACACACCAGGAAGCATCCCCGTAGCTGCTCTCCTCCTCGCCTCTTCCTGCTCTGCTCTCGGAAGACCAGCTGCCCTTCCTTCAGCTCAAGGAATGCCCATTCTCTTGTTCCAAAGCCCAGCCCGTGGCATTGCCTCAAGGATCTTACTCAATGAACTCCTCTTGCTTCTATCTGTTTTAATCATTTTAAATTGTGAAATATGCATACGCAAGCATATGAACATGTTCAGATTAAATAATAGCAAAAGTACAAGCATGTGTGTGCCCACCACCCAGGCTAATAGGGCACGGTTGGCACCTTCAAACATACTTTCTATACATGTCCATTGTCCCTCCCTCCTACTCAAGAATAAGTGCCGGCCTTTCTTTATAGTTTGAATGCCTATGTACACAGATTTAGGAAACATGTTACTTAGTGTTGCTTGGTTTTAAATTCTATGTAAATAAGTCATACTGATTTACATTGGCTCACTTCTCTTATTCAATACTCTCCTTTTTAGATTTAACCATTTGGGGTATATAAATAGCAGTAAGTTCCTTCTGTTGAGTATTTCATTTCATAAGCCACAAGTTTCTTTCATTCTCATTTCTATAGAATATTCTATTACATGACTAATCCGCAATTTATCATGTAACTGCTGTGGGATATTTGAGCTGTCTCCAGTTTTTTGTTATTATAAGCAATGCTATTATGCACATTTTACAACTCAAAATGTTTAACTGAATCATATAAAACCTTACTATTAGCAATCCAAAAAATTAACAAAAAAATATAACCTTCCTATCAGCAATGTCCACTGATATTTTCTATTTCTACTCTGTTCTTTTAATTCTATCATATCCTGTTCCCATTTATTTTATAAAGTTTTTTTTAAAGCTGCTTCATTCAATTAAGGAAAATCAAAACTGCTCTAGG